ACCGAAAAGGTTGACATCCCTCTAGTAGAGTTGCCATTCTTCTTCCTGTGTATTTAACCTCCAATCACAAAAAAAATTTGAACCTTGGTGTTGAATTTAATTTGAATATAGATTGTACACATATCAGTAGATGTGGTAGAATATCCTGGATTCTACTACCTGGCAAGGTGTTTACATGATAGTGTGGTATTGCCAAATCTGTGTATATTAAAAATTAGTATGTATTCTCTCCAGTACAACTTCCTCTTAATGATTTTGATTTTATTTTCAAAGATTTTATCATACATTTGTAAACTGGTCTCACATTATTTTATATTCCAGATGAATCTGCCAGTCTTAGATGTATTAATGCTTTTTAAGGACTTATATTTACCTTCTTTTTTTAAAAAAAATGGGGGGTTTAAGGACTTATATTTACCTTCTTTTTTTTAAAAAAAGGGGGGGCTAGTCATGCTGGCCACGTGACCATGGAGGATTGTCTGCAGACAAATGCTAGCTCTATGGGTTGGAAACGGAGATGAGCACCGCTGCCTAGAGTTGGACATGACTGGACAAATTGTCAAGGGAAACCTTTACCTATATATATTACATTCATTTTTTCCTTTCTATGGTAAGATGAGCATGACTGATTAAAGTAAAGCACAAGTTACTCCAGATAGTATGGCATCACCTCTTGCAAACAATTTGCCCCTAGTCATTTTGGAAAAGGCATAATCTGCTTGTACAGATCCAATTAGCTATTCACAGTACTGTTTTTCGGTGGCTCCAGTCTTTCCTGGAGAAGAGAACTCAGAAAGTGGAGCTGGGGGATTCCTGTTCGACACCCTGGCCGCTGACCTGTGGGGTACCCTAGGGTTCTGGTCTATCTCCTATCATATTTGACACCCTGACTCATCACCTGTGGTGTCCCTCAGGGTTCAGTTTTGTCCTCTATACTATTTAACATCTGCATGAAACCACTGGAAGAGACTGTTTAGAGTTTTGAGGTTCGGTGTCACCAGTATGCAGAGAACACCCAACTGTACCTCTCCTTGACATCTAAATCCGAGGAAGCTACTTTGTCTCTAGATCAGTATTTGGTATCAGTAATGGACTGGATGAGAGTGAATAAATGGAAACAAGCCACACAAGACAAAGGTGTTTCTGGTCAACCAGAAAGCAGATCAAGGAATATGGATGCAGTCTGTACTGGATGGGGTTACACTCCCCCTGAAAACACAGGTATGCAGTTTGGGGGTGCTCCTGGGTTCCTCTCTGAGCCTGGATGCTCAGGTTTCAGCAGTGGCCAGGAGTGCTTTGGTACAATTAAAACGAATACACCAGCTATGTCCCTTTCTGGAGAGGTCTGATCTGTCGACTGTGATACATGCCTTAGTTACTTCCCAGCTGGATTGCTATAACTCACTCTATGTGGAGCTGCCAATGAAAGGGTTAGGAAACTTCAGGGCAAAATGCAACAGCCACATTGCTGATTGGGGCTGATTGCAGGCATCACATAACCCCCCTGTTACAGCAGCTGCACTGGCTGTTTCTGGGCACAATTCAAGGTGCTGGTTCTAGCCTATAAAGCCCTAAATGGGTCCAAGCCAGGAATGTTGGCAAGTCTGGGTCCATGCTGTCTCAAAGACCACATCTTTCACTATGAGCTGTCTCAGGTGTTAAGATTATCAGGTTGAAAGTAGGAGCAAATGCCAAAGAAGAAGTGATTTGTAAGGAAGACTCAATATTCCTTAGAGATAAGCTGCTCTGTGCATGGGTAGCTGCTTTCCTGAGATGTGAGAAATTGTAACCAATGCATATGTTCCTCAAGGACCAATTGACTGCTGCGTACGTTAGTTCATTTACTTTTGTTCTTTTTTAGAACTGTATAAAAACTTTAACCCTGTTGATCTCAGGGTCCCCACCCTGCTGGGCACCCAAGTGTGCACTTGTTTTATCTGAATAAACCTGTTGCCCTTTCCTCCAAGAAACTGTCCACTTATTATTATTGCTCGAGACTTGGCTTCATCAAATTAGCTAAGACACTGAGCTCTGGGAGTAACAAGGTGAGGCCTTTCTCTTGGTCCTGCCACCTTCACAGGTGTGTCTGATGGAGACACAGGAGAGGACCTTGTCTGTTGTTGCTCCCAGACTTTGGAACTCCCTCCCACAGCAGGCCAGGCTGGCATCAACTTTGCTGTCCTTTCAAAAGCAGGCAAAGACCATTCCCTTCAGGCAGGCTTTCCCTCAGTGACTGCCTACATGAGTGAGTGGCCACATTGCTGGCTACATGAGTAACCTTTAGGTCAGAGGTTCCCAACCCCCAGTCCGCTGCCCGGTGCTGGTCCGTGGCCTGAGCTGGACCGGGCTGCAGAGACAGACCTCCCCCCCCACGCACTTCCCCCCTGCACAGCCTGTTTGTGCCTGTATGCAAGCGCGCCTGCACAAACACTGTGCCACCCTTTTGCACATGCACGAGAGAGAGTGTGCACTCCTTCACACATGTGCCTGCGCGCAGGGGAGTGCCCTGCCTTCCCCAGCTGATCCACGGGGCTAAAAAGGTTGGGGACCACTGCTTTAGATGGATTGTTATGCATTACTGTTCTGACTGGGTCTTTAGTACTGCTTATGTTTACTGTATCTCAGAGTGATAACTGATCCTCTTTAGTATTTGAATACTCATTGTTTTATATTGTCTTTTAATGATGTAAGCTGCCTTTTTATACTCATTGTTCTTAGCTTTAAGTGTCGTCTTTTCATGAGGTGAACCAGTGTTATATACTCATTGTTTTCAGCTTTAAATAGTATCTTTCAAAGATGTAAGCCACCTTGGGTCATTTTTAAGGGAAAGGTTTCTTCCCAGCTGCGTTCTTGGACTGTGACTCAGAATTGTCCAGGCAGCATGGCCAGCAGCTGTCTGTGAAATTCTGGGAGTTGTAGTCCAAAAAGAAGAAGATGCATTACAAACCATGGTCGGAGCAGAAACCTTGCTTTTGTTGACAGTAAACTGTTACCTTACAAGAATGGCAAGGCATGGTATAGACAAACCTGTAATCACACACTCAAACTGAAGAGCTCTGTAGTCATGATTAGCATTTTTCTCCTCTCTCATTTACTGATTCTAAATTGTAAACAAGGTTTCCTCATATGGAAGCCCACTAAGGACTGGATAAACACGCTCTGTTTGTTGCCTAATTAGGGCTACAAAAGTAGGGTGATAACCAAACATCTAAAAGGATGACTGATGAAAAACGTTTGGCTTGATACTAACAAGGTATGCCAAACTGAAATAGAAAATATCTGGATAGACAGAAGACTGTTACTAATAGGATACTGTATTGTATTGATTGTTTGATTGATTGCTTTGAAGTATATTGAAGACTGTTACTAATAGGATACTGTATTGTGTTGATTGTTTGCTTTGAAGTATTTTTACCCTGCCTTTCTCCTCAAAAGGATCCAAGGAGTTATATAGTCATAGTACAGTGGCACCTCGCAAGACGACGACCCCACTAAACGATGAATCCACATAACGATGACTTTTTGCGATCGCTATAGCGATTCGCAAAACAGTCATTCCAATGGGAGATTTTCGCTGGACGTTGATTAGGTCCGTGCTTCGCGAACCGTTTGTTCGCAAGATGTCAATTTTTACAGCTGATCGTCAGCTTCGCAAAATGGCTGCCCTGTGTTTTACGGGCCCATGATGATCGTCGGCTTCTCAAAATGGCTGCCCTATGTTTTCCAGGCCCATGCTTCACTGGGAAGCCATTTTTACAACTGATCGGTGCTCACAAAATGGCTTCCCTATGGGCGATCTTCGCTGGATGACGAGGTATTTTCCCCACTGGAACACATTAAACCGGGTTTCAATGCATTCCAATGGGGAAACGGATTTCACATGATGACGATTTCGCTAAACAGCGATTTCAATGGGACGGATTATCGTCGTCATGCGGGCACCACTGTAAGTCACTTCTGAGATACCCAGTGTGGTGTAGTGGATAGAGTGATTCAGGAGGCCATGGTTTGACTCCCTGTTCAGCCATCATTATGAAGGGTTATTGGGGGAGTGAAACTGGTAAAGCCACTCCTTAAATATCTCACCTTGAAAGCCCTATTAGGATTCCTATAAGTCAATTCCAGCTTGACAGTGCATAACAAGTCTCTTTTGAGATAAGGACCTTAATTTGTGGTTGATGATTGTGTTGGAAAATCACATACAAAGAAGCCTCGGGTCATTTCCGGCTACTGTGTGATTTCATGCATGAGCAACAAGTTGTCAGTACATCTGAAATCATCATAACTTACACCCTGACCTTCAGTTTACAGCATGTTTATTTCACAAAGACATTTAAAAATTCAAAAGCAAATTAGCAACTGAGGAAACAGCAATCTTAGGCCTTTTAATTATTTACTATAGTGTATGTAGCAGGGAAGATATTTCATAAACAGTGTCAGCATATTATAGTAGTATGGAAATGAATATCTAAATGGCAGGGAATTTGTGTTCAGCTTCTCCCACTAGTTTCTGCCTGAATAATTTCTTACATTCTGTTGTACTGGTAGAAGAATTGTTTGCTTATATTTGAATTCTACTCTCCAGCTTAAAATGTTGCTTTGTGCTGGCTGTTTGCATAAACACACAAAACTTTTACATGTTTAGAGCAGTAGTCTGTCAGGCTCACTATCATCTATGCTGGATCGGCAGTGATGCTGTAAGGTTTCAGCCAAGAGTCTTGACCCTCAGATGCTTATGTCTGATAGCCTGTGTGGCAAGGGAAGCTATGCATAGCTAGCCACTGCTGCTGCCAGTTTATCAGTGACCCACGTTTGTTGACTTTCACCATGTAGTGGGCTTTCTCTCAGTTTTGTGTGTTATAAGAAAAGCTATTTCCAGTGTCTTAGAATGAACTGCTGGAACAGTGTGATATGCAAACTATTCCCTTTGTTTATTTTAACATTGTGACCGCCACCATAGTCACTGTTATCATTCTCCTAATCTCATTGAAACCACGTAGATGGCCAGAAATAAAGCCTCCAGTCAAGATTTCTTCAATGTGCTAGCTGGATGTGTGTACAGTGGCGTGGAAACTTTGGGCAAAGAACTTTTCATGTTTTTTGGACAGAAAGCCTTAAGGTAAGAACCACATGTAAGATTTATGTTTGTATAATTAGTAAGAATTATTTTGCTGTTCTTGAGCTTTGTTGAGAAAACCTTGCCCTTCCTGAGCATGCACAAATTGAAATTTTCTCATACACAGTAAAGCTTGTGATCATGAAGAATGTTGTGAGTGTTGGCATCGATCAAGTAATTCGAGACAATGTGGACAGTGATTATTCTTTCTGAAATATTGCCTAGGATGTTTCTGGATTATCCTGTGGTCATACAATAGAGACAGAGTCCCAGAGTGCATAGGGTTACTGTAAAGAATACAGTGATGCCTCGCTTGACGATGTTAATCCGTTCCAGCAAAATCGTTGTAGAGTGAAAAGATCGTGAAACGAAATTTTAAAAACCCATTGAAACGCATTAAAACCCAGTTAATGTGTTCCAATGGGCTGAATACCTGCTCATCCAGTGAAGAGCCTCCATATGGTGGCCATTTTTGGTGCCTGTATAGCGAGGAATCAGTCCTAGAAAACAGCGGTGGCCATTTTGAAACCCAATGATCAGCTGTTTGCTGATCGTCGTAAAGCGAAAAATCGGTTCCCGAAACAGGGAACTGATCAACATGAAGCGAAATTCCCCCATTTAAGACATCGTTTTGCAATCGCTTTTGTGATCACAAAAACGTCAACATAATGTGGATTCATCGTAGAGCGGGGTAATTGTCCAGCGGGGCACCACTGTATCATAATAAAGAGACATGGATTAGATCCAGACTACGTTATTTGCACTGAAAGTCTAGGCTTCCGAATGACTGTCTTGTTCACAACAGTCTAGTAGTGATCAGGTGCAGAAGACCTCTTTGTGCATGCAACATGGTTTATTTGTATCACTACGTGGTCTGGTGACTAGGCTACATAGAAATTGGCTCATATTTCAGTCCTTCATGACTTGAGACTGCAGTATCTGAAGGACTTCCTCTTCTGAGATATTCCTCCCCATCCCTAATATTGTAACTGGGGGCCATGTGCCTTTCCACACTGCAGTCTGGTAGATAGTTACTCATGAATGATTGTCTTTCCAGTTCTGGGTGCCTCCCTTACATAGATCTACCTGTGCTTACTCTTTTTATTTTTACTATTATACTAAGGACTCTTTATTTGCTCTTGTTAAAAAGATTTTTTAAAATTCCTTTGGGGCAAATTCTCTGTTTTGTATTTTACTGATGCTTTTAACTGTTTTTTAAAAACTGGTTTTATTGCAGTCTTTGTTCGTGTGCTTTGTATTGTGTCATTCCAAATACTTTGGCTATTAGAAAACTCAGGAGGTGAATAAATAAATACATTTGCTGAAAACAGTATAAGTGAAAGAACTATCAGAAGAAACCCTCGAAGCAAGGACAGTCAAGTGCAGTTGGCAGGGTGCTGTTATCCTGCTTCTGGTTTCCAGAATATTATGGGCAGATTTAGGGGAACAGAACTTACTCGTACTTGTGTTGAACTTGTACTTAGTCCCACTGAAGTCAATGGGAATTTAACTTGGTCCCTGTATAGAATCAAAGTTTCAGTACCAAAGTTTCATCTCATAAGCCATACTTGACTAATAAAAAGCCATACCTGGGAGTAAGTCTGGGTTGCTGTTCATAAACAGCATGATGGGCACATAGCTTGATTATTCCTGATTGGATTTTTCCACCAGTGTAAGCAGCTTAATTACTCAAAAATTAAAGCTTAAGAGTTATGTCTGAATTGAGGTTCATGATTTGTGACTCTCCCAAAAAACTCTGATTTGTTCTTAGTTTACATTACAACATCTTAAAAAAATCATTGGGTTATGATATCACTCATCAAAGTGGACATGTAAAATGACAACCATTATCCTGATATTGCCAACAATGAGCCATATGCCTACCATTACATTTACGTAGCTGCCTAGGTTGAATACTGAATTCTGATTTTTGCTTATATTTTCAGAAATGTATTTCTTTTCTAGGATTCACTTTGGCATGAATGGCTCTTTGCACTTAAATACAGATGGAAGACAGAACAGAAGCAGAGCACCGGCTGTCCTGGAAATACAGCTTACTGTTGATTTGGTTTCTTTCTATGATGCAACTGTAGAGCTTAGGTAAAGCAACCTATGTTCTCCTGGCAGATGTTTGATATATTCCTGAAGGGAAGAAATACTGTGGCTCAAAGTGTCAAATGGCTTTGTCAAAATCTCTCAGCCTGCATGGCCACTTGCCATATCTGGAACTGTCAGAGTTATCAGCTAGGGGATTTGAGGAATTACTGTGGTGACTCCACCCATTCTAAACCTCAAAGTATGTATATATTTATAAATAAGAATGCCAGGTTTGTAAGCAACTAGCTTTTAATGCTTGAATAGTGTACAGTGGTGCCTCGCTTAACGATTTTAATTGGTTCCAAAAAATTCATCGCTATGGGAAAATATCGCTAAGCGAAACACGGTTTCCCATAGAAATGCATTGAAAACCGGATAATCCGTTCCAATGGGAACGGATTGCCGTCCTTAAGCGAAAATCGCCATAGGAAACATCGCTAAGCGAAATGCGGTTCCCCAATTGAAATGCATTGAAACCTATTCAATGCAGCTCCATGGGGGAAAAAAATTACAACAAATTGAAAAAGAGTTGGAACAAAGTCAAATTAGTTTAACAAAGGGTTTATTAAGTGCACTTATGATTTCAAGCATTCTAAACATTTTTAAACATTTTAAACATATTAAAAACAGCCAACATGAGGCTGTCAAAACTATCGTTAAACGAAACAGGGGGACCCAAAGTGTCATCGCTATGCAAAGCATGGTCCCAAACTTCGCTATGCGAAAATCGCCCATAGGGAACATCGTTAAACGGAGTGCAAGATCGCTCCGAAAAAGCCATCGCTAAGCGAATTCATTGTTAAACAAAGTGCTTGTTAAGCAAGGCACCACTGTACAGTGGTGCCTCGCATTACGACGTTAATTCGTTCCAGCGATATCGCTGTAAAACGAAAATGTAATGCAAAATTAAAAAGCCCATAGAAACGCATTAAAACCTGATTAATGCGTTCCTAGGGGCTTGAAACTCACAGTCCAGCGAAGATCCTCCATAGCGCGGCCATTTTCGCTGCCTGTGCAGCAAGGAATCCATCCCAGAAAAGAGCGGGGAGTCATGTTTTTTACCTAGTGGCCATTTTGAAACCACCGATCAGCTGGCCCGAAAATCGTCGCTTTGCGATGATCGGTTCCCGAAGCAGAGAACCGATCATCGTATAGCGAAATTCCCCCATAGGAAACATCATTCTGCAATCGCAAAACCTTTAGTGTCAAGCGATTTCGTCATAAAACGGAGCGCTCGTTAAGCGAGGCACCACTGTATATGCATCAGTAAAGTGCTAGTGTGGTTGGAAGCTGAATGACAGAGTGCTGAGTGTTGATTGGTGTAATTGGAATGTCATGGGGAAGAGTCTAGTTTCAGAGTTAAAGAGTCTGGGTTCAGAGTTTTCTTTTGTTACACACACACACACACACAAATCTATTTTAAATTAAGTCAGAAGTAGTTTTTTATAGTTAGATGTTTGTCTTGAGCGTCTAGTCTGTGAAGTCAGAAAGTTAAGTCTGTAAAGAACTTATTTTGAGCTTAAAATATAGAAAGCACATACTTGCATTTTACAGTTGCTTCAATCTTTAGGTTGTAGACTTTTGAAACTATTTTTCCTTTATACCATTTACTTATCTTACCTTAATAAAATACCTTTTGTTTGTTTGAATCAAGCTCTTGCTATTTAATTTATGTGTAATGTAAGAAGAGATTAAGCACATTTCAGGCAAAAAACAATATACCCACATCATTCAAGGCTACCTGTTACCATAAGAAACACAACAGGTACCTATTAAGACTACAGGCTGCTTTTTCAGAACACTATTTTAGCTTTGTGCATTTTTGTCTGGATGTTTCTACAACTATTTAAATGTCTTAATTGTATGATTTTTGCTAACCTACTCTGGCATTTGATTTTCATTTTTAAAAAATATCTTATAGGAATGCTGCTGATAGTGAGCAGAAGATTAGAATGCTGGGAGACCTGGATATATGTTCTTCAAAATTTAGTTTTTTAAGAGCAGAAAGTGAGATTAAGAAGCAAAATGGCCGTATGTTATGTGATGTATTGCTCGATCAGGCCATTCTACCTGGTGTGGGAAATATCATAAAAAATGAAGCACTTTTTGATAGTGGTCTCCATCCAGTTGTTAAAGTAAGTGAAATATTTCCAACTTCTTCCATTTGCATTTTAGAACTTAGTGTTTAGTTTAAGAAACTCTGACTGGAATCCTATTGGCATTCAAGAGGAATGGTGTAACATGCTGCAGCGAATGAAGGCAAATTGACAAGATGCCATGCCTCTGTCAGTCACATGCCTGGTCACATACTGAATTGTACACCCTGGTACCTTGTTCAGTTAGCTCCTTCCAGATAATTTTAAAAATCATGATTTATTTTTTTTTAATTTTTTTAAATGTAAATCATCAAAAATTCTTTTGAATCAACTACCTTGCAGCATAGTGCACAATATGTTCATAAACAACAGTAAGATTCCAGTCTATATGTGAATCAGGTCCATTATGACAATTATAATCTAGGCCTGAATTTTAAGAACCTAGCCATATGGTCTCTGGAAAAAGAAGGTGCCTGAGGTTTCTCAGAAAAATGCATGGGACATTCAATGATAAAACTGTATTTCCTTGTGAAAAAAATGGTATTTGCGAACAGTTAAGCCTTTCAAACCAATTCTCACTTTAGGATGTGCCATTGAATTCAGTGGAGTTCGCCTCTGAGGATTGCAACATGTCGAACTACTTGTAATTGAGACTGGTTTTCCATTGTGTTTTGTACTGTGTTATTTATATATTTATTTTTATTTATTTTTATTAAGTTTATACCTCTTTTTTCCACCATATCTGATGCATAAAAACGGGTATCAGACAATTAGACTTAGCCGTGGAAAAACATTCCTGACCACTAACAAAACTTGGACATGTCTTTTCAGGGCTGAAACTAGGATCATATTCAAAGGTTTTCAAGGGAGATAAAACTAATGGCCAAAGATAACAGAAGTCCATAAACTGTTTAAGGACACATAAGAGTATGGTAAAATTGTCCCCTGTGAAGATCAGTCAATCTCGGGTGCTTGAAATATTCAGACATAACTTTATCACGTTGTCATCTAAAACAGAATTGTGTACATGGGTGTATCTGCACCATATTTCCAAAACCCTGAAATTTAGCCATCTGACATAAATGGATACTAAGGAAAAACTGAGGGTATGCATTGCACAGATAAAAATGGAAATCATTAATTCTATTTCAATTAATCAAAATCTTTGTAGCCTGCAGTACTAAATTGAATCACTAGATAGTAGGCTTCAGGTTTTTGAGTTGTAAGAGGGTTCTTCAAAATTCATGCTTCAAGAGCATGAATACGGTTTGGTCGAAATGCATGAGGTTCAGTCAGAATGGGTTCTTCCATTGCTGGAATATATCAAGTCTTCTGTGAAATCTGGCTGCACAGTAAATCTTGTTCCAGATTCCAAGTGTGTGCTTACTCAGACATACACAGACAAGATGATAATTCCTTTTTCTTGATATGTGGAGGGAAGACAGTGAGAAAAGGGAAAGGTAGAAGAGCACTGAGTTGCTATTCTGATACATATTAACATTTGTAAGTAAAAGAGATACATTTTTCATTCTTTCTCAACACCAGAGTCTCTGACTGAATCTATTGAGATGATTTTGCTAATTGAGGTAAATCTAACTAAAACTAACCAAACAAACTATAAGGGGTGGTATATTTGGCCATCTCATGAGAAGAGAAGACTCCCTGGAAAAGACCCTGATGTTGGGAAAGTGTGAAGGCAAGAGGAGAAGGGGACGACAGAGGATGAGATAGATGGGCAGTGTCATTGAAGCTACCAACATGAATTTGACCAAACTCTGGGAGGCAGTGGAAGAAAGGAGGGCCTGGCGTGCTCTGGTCCTTGGGGTCACGAAGAGCCGCACATGACTTAATGACTAGTCAACAACAAAATATTTGAGGGAGATTTGTAATTATATAATAATCTGCTCTGTAGGTCCCAGTCTGGATTTTTTTTTCCTGCTGTGTAGCTGGCAGTTTTAAGTCATCAATTTCCAAAATCTTCCAATAATAAGTACCATGACTTTCCATTGAGGTTTCTTCTGGATATGTTGTTACAGGAGGGATTGGAGCATACAAGTCAAAGTCTGAAAATGGACTTTGTTGTTGCTTAGTAGTTTAGTCATGTCTGACTCTTCGTGACCCCATGGACCAGAGCACGCCAGGCCCTCCTGTCTTCCACTGCCTCCCAGAGTTTGGTCAAATTCATGTTGGTAGCTTCAGTGACACTGCCCATCTATCTCGTCCTCTGTCGTCCCCTTCTCCTCTTGCCTTCACACTTTCCCAACATCAGGGTCTTTTCCAGGGAGTCTTCTCTTCTCATGAGATGGCCAAATATACCACCCCTTATAGTTTGTTTGGTTAGTTTTAGTTAGATTTACCTCAATTAGCAAAATCATCTCAATAGATTCAGTCAGAGACTCTGGTGTTGAGAAAGAATGAAAAATGTATCTCTTTTACTTACAAATGTTAATATGTATCAGAATAGCACACAAACATGTTTACTTGTTACATAGTATGGGATTTTAACTGGATAACATCATTGACTACAGCAGTGTTCCTCAACCTTCTGTAGTGCGGACCGGGGGGAGCCTCTGAGGGAGGTGGGGCGGCCCCTTGCGCTCGTGCATTCCCCCACTTCCCTCCCCACAGCTGCTTTGCGCGCGCGGGGCGCTTGCATGAAAGGGGGAGGGAGCGCTCGCGCTGGCAAGCGTGCCCACAAAGCAGTTCTGGGGAAGGGAGTGCGTGGGGGGGAGGTTTGTCTTCGCTGCCTCCCGGCTCTTGCCCACCCCCACCCCCTCTGCTGTCGCTGCTGGGAAGAGACCAGCCGGAGTACCCAGCCATTTGCTGACTCCGGCTCTTGGCTACCCCCGCCCCTGCCGCTCTGAGTGCGTGCGGGGGAGGGGGGCTGGTGGGAGGTCTGTCTTCA